CCTAAACCCCTAAACCATTAAACCCTGGGAAGGGCAAGGCCCGTATAGAAAGCCGGGAGGCCCTGACGCTGGCAATGGAGGGCTTCTACCACGCCAGCATTCCTCGAGCTTCAAAGGCCAACGAGGGATTAGGGTTTAGGGTTTAAATGCCTGCCAACGAGGGAATAACTTATGAGGTTTTAGCGGTTTAGGGTTCTAGGGTTTGGGGGTTTGGGTTTAGGGTTTAGTGGCCAATATTTCTTGGCGTTCTTCTGGTTGGCTCTTAGGACTTTAACTTTTTTGGTCTCTATATAACTATAATAAGGAGACTAAAGGCTTAACTTTTGGAGGGGTTCTGAAGTCAGCCAAGATGAGGCTATGATGGTTTATGTGATGTAGGGTTTAGCTGTTTCTGGGCCCGGGTTTTGTAGGGTTTTGGCGGAAGAACTAGGGTCGTATGAGGATTGCAGAACAGATAACAGTTTCAGAGTATAGGGGCGAGGTTTCCAGAGATTTAGCATTTCCTGGTTTTAAGGCATTGGGTTTTGGTTTGTGTTTACTGCGGGTTTGGGCTATAAGGTTTGAAATGAATGCTTGGATACAAGGCTCTAGTGTGGCGAGCAGCACCATGAGTCTGAGTTCTTGACAAGCCCGTTTTCATGTTCTTAGTTCCCCAATACCCAACCTTTAAACTTTTTGGGTTTTTATAGTTTAGTAGTAATCTGAAAGTTTAACCTTTTATTTCCCTGGCTTCTTGGGGAAGCAAGTGTTTCAAGCACTGTAAAATGACAAAAGACCAAGTCCCATCGTTTACTGTAGAACATCGAAGCCTGAATTTAGGGTTTAGGGTTGAAGGTTTAGGGTTTAGGGATTGTTCATGACATGTTCACGGGCATTGGGGGCTGTAAGTTAGGCTTCTCTACGCAGTTCTAGTCAACCACAAGGACTTGTGTGGTGCATGCTGAGGTACGGCGGTTGTTGAAGTGACACTGCTTGTACATGCCTTTTGGCATCCATAGTAAGTGGCATTCACGCGGTTCAGGTATATCCCTACACAAGCCCTAACACTGCGACAACACTTTAAGTTTTGGTGCTCGTTGCTATGTTCTGCCAGCACTCAACCCTAAAACCTTCAAGCCCTACACCCTGGACTCGACCAGGTTTTGGGCAGCACCATTGCCTTCTGCGCCTGCCGACTGCACGTTGTGTAAGTCTACGTATAGATCACACCCTGGGCCCTAGACCTCCCCTAAATCGTTAATGGTTCCTCAGCACCCAAGAAACACGCACACGCACATACATATATGTTTTGATTATATACGTATATATATATATAATATA